ATTTGATCATCGAATTAAACATTTAATAAATCCAATAAATAATCATTATTAATTTAATAAGTCATTTAAAAAGCAATATAAATTTAAATATGTATTTCAAGAATTTAACAAAAGAGCAAAGCAAATAAATCATCAAATGACTGAGAATAACATCCTTTCGGTAAACCTTTGCTACATTTTTTGGCTAAGTAATTTCGTTAGTATAGATTTATGTCTAGCTTAAAATCTATATACAAAATATGAAGCTTCAAAAACTAATAATTAACTAAATAATAATTTTAAATTCTACTTGAGGTTGAATATGAGTTTCTTCCGAAAAGTTTATCATGTGTGAAGGTAAGGTCATGATCGGCAGCAACACATTTTGCTATGAAATATTTTTCAGAATTATTTGTTTTTGAATGTCTTTCCATCTAAACCAATGAAAACTAATTAAGTCTTCGCTTCTGAATCTGCATTTTTTGAAATTACTTTTATATTTGACTTAGCTCTGTGTAATTTACACTTATCCACCAGAATATTATGGATTTCAACTGCCGGTAAAAATAGATGCTTGATATCATGTTGTAAGATTTCCAAGAGCTATGCCGAGATTTGAAGAATATCCGCCTTTGACCAACTCTATAGCATGTCTTGGAAACTTTTGAATTCTATGATCTGCTAGAGTTCTCTTACTTGATTACCATTCATCATGTTCTATAGGTAAAAAGTAAAATATTAAAGATAAGCAAATTTAAAATAAATAAGTGTTAAATATATACCATAAATTAAAAGTTTAACGTCACGCAAACAAAAATACCTGAGGTTTTATTATTTCAACTATATATTCTAGGGGATCTGGTAATGAACTTTAGAGCTCATTATTATTATGTTTGTGATGAAAAATATTTTCTTCCTTGTGATAAATCTTGTTACTGTGTATAGCAGGTATATCTACCGAAGACATCTATAATAGTCCCTTCAACCTGGTTTTTAAGCGAAGGTCTTGTATCTAAGCCCTTTTTTGGTAGGCGCCTTTGCTACTTGTCTTTGCTTCTAGCGTATACACAAACTATTTGTTCCATTGTGCACACAATGTGCACAAACTATTTGTTCCATTGTGCACACAAACTATTTTTTCCATCTTTTTTGCCATTAACCTAAACATTGTTACATGACACAATGCCTAATAAAAAGCGACAAGCAGATATGTCAAATAGCTTATTTAGTTTAGAATCCAGGTTACGCTCGATATTTGCTTTTGCATGTTTACGGTTTCACAATGGCAACCTCTGTAACTCTCTTCACTTTTGGGTTACCAAAGAGGGCATTTTTATTTTTGGCATTTTTTCAATTTCTATAACTAAAATATTTTGTTTGCAATATTATTATGAGATACAAAATGTAATTGCAATGAATTGATGAGAGCTGTGGCTAAGCTTTAGGGCCTTAATATCAGATCTTGGAGAGGGGCTTCTGACTCACTAGCCACGGCGCTCAAAATAACATCAATTTATTAAAAAACTAAATAATTTAATTTTTGCACAAAATGTTAACTTGATTGTTAATAATATTTAAACATTTGTAAAACGTGTTTATTGTTTATATTATTTATATTGTTTATATTAATCTATTTTAACTACGTTGTATCAAGATTATCTTGAAAAGTAACATTTATGAAATACAACCAGTTAAGGGTGTTAAACTAAGCCAAATTAAAAAGTAAATTCAAATAATAAAAATTATTAAAATTTTTTTGCTGCTTATAAATTCGATTGGTTTGCGCATAAAAATGTTAAGTTAAAAGCGGTAAAGACTAAGAAGTTACGAGGTTAAAAGCGGTAAAGACTAAGAAGTTACGAGAAGACTAAGAAGTTACGAGGTTAACAATTGTTTACAAACAAAGTACATGCGTGCTTTAAAAAACGAAGAAAAATAAGTTTTATAAAACAGAGAAAAATAGTTTATAATACATGCAAATCCACAAACTAAATCGAAGTTCCGCAAAGAAATAATCATTTAAAACACTAAAGTTTCCTATTTTCTTTACTTACATACAATAGACGTATCCCGCATTCCAATGACGTAATGACATCAGGCAATGATAAAACGTAAATATCGAAATAATTGTTTAAAAAATGAAAGTAGAAGATGCTCTGATAGATATACAAAATTATTCAACTGAAATAACAATTGTTTTAGAAATAAATAGAAATTTAAATACTTCACCTAATTTTAAATCTGCAGATAAAACTTTAACTTGGTGTAAAAGTTTAAAATACTTGCCACTATTCACTATTAAAGAAATAGAAAACTACAGAAAAAAAAAAAAGCTAAAAACAAAAGTATTGCAATAAAAAAAACATTTAAAAGAGGTAAAAGATTTAAATCTGAACGATTTATATCATCAGATAGTATTTACACTTTGTGTAACCTAACGTGTATCATAGTAAAAGCAAAATGCAAAGCAAACATGAAAAATGAAGTTCGTGATTTAAAAGTTTATATTAGCAGATTGACTAGCTCTGTTAGAAAAGCATATTGCTCATGCCCTGCTGGAAATAGTGGTTATTGTAATCACGTGATTGCTTTGTTATTTGAACTTGCAGAATATTCTTTAAAGTGGATCCATGGTAAAAAAACTAAAATCTTTAATACTCTTGATTTCAATTTTTTTTAAGTTGAAATATGAACAAAAACATATTATGAAAAAGAAAATTTCTTCAAAAAATAAAAAAAGCTATTTTAAAATGCTGAGTCAGCATAAAAATACACAAAAAGTGAGTTATGCAAAACAGCTATTACTTATAAACTACTCATGCAATCAAGCTAAAAGTTTTACAAATTAGAGAAAACACATAGATTAAGTGCCTGAACTAGGATTTTTTTATATTTTTATGTACTTTCAAAATGGCTGCTATATTAGTGAATATTCCAAATATATGACAAAAACTCGATAGGGAAATACAAATTTGTCACTAAAAAAAATTAATTCTGTTGAAGATCTTAGTTCAGGCACTACTTTAAAGTATAATAAACAACTCCTGAAAATTTGAATATTTAACTATATGCAGATCCAGAGCAATAGTTGCTCTAAGATTACTACATTCAAAAATATAAAAAATGCAGAAAAATGCAAAAGAAATTTAGTATTTAATAATTTCCTGCAGAATATGACTCTAAATCTTCAGTTTCTTTTTCGTTGTCTATGAAACTTTTTCTACGAGCTCTTAATTAAATTTTTTAAATAAATTTTTTAAAAAAATAATTAAATAAAGAAAGTTTAAGTTTCTTAGAGCTTCTAGATGATGTGACCGTATCAATATTATTTACAACATGGTTTTCTGGAAGTGAGGAAGTACAAGTGTGTCGATTGCCACAATATAAACGTTTAATTTTTCTTCTTATTTTATTTCTCTTGTTAGCCATTTAAAGCTGTTCAACAAATAAAATATCTTCAGACAGGTTTTTAAATATGCTAATTTAATAGTTTTGAAAAACTAACTCAATAACTCAAATATAACTCACTCACAAGATTTAATAGTTATAGTAATTTACGAATAAAACAAATGAAATACAAATAACAGAATAGTTAAAAGCATAGTAGATATATTTTAAGTAGCACAGACTTTAATTTTTTTTATTTTGTAGAAGATAAAAGATAAAAATTGACAAGCTGTTTTGGTTGCTATGCGCGTTGCTATGAATAGCAACTGAGATAAGATGTCAAATCTATTACTTTTAATAGTGTTTTAATGTAAATAATGTATAAAAACCACTTTCCTCTTAAAGATAGGTAGTTTATCTAATAAAAACAATTAAAAAAAAAAATTCATTTTTTTTGCATTTACTTGAGTATGTACCTGAAGAGATTGCTTGTACAAGTAAATCAAGGCAATGGGGCATTCCAGGTCATAAAACTAAAACAATTAAAAATCCTGTTATGTTTACAAATGTTCAAAAATTTGAATTTAAGCGTGGCATTGAGGCTACTTTATATGATCCAAGACGAATAAAGTGTAAAGAAGAAACTTTAAAAGGAAATATTTGCAATCTAAAATCAAATGTTGTTTTTTTCAATAAAGATATTGGTATTGTTCATTGCGTACCTGACATTTTTAGTTTTACTAAAACATCATTTGGAAATTTTCCAATTGGTTCTCCTTTATCTTATCAACTCCAGATAAATGAGAGCTTTGATTTTATCACTAATATTGAAAAACTTGAAGCAATTTCTTTTAATGTGTCTAATACCCTGCCTCCTTTACCTCTTGGCTTTTATAATAAAAATCATTGCTATATACCTCGCAATTGGAAGCTTAATGAGAAACAAAACGATTTTTTGCTATCAATAAAAGTATTTTCTGAACAAAGCAGAAAGTATGAAGCTGATACAGTTACACAAAGTACAAATCAGCTGTGGTTTAATCTAAGAAAATATCGCTTAACTTCAAGTACTTCTCATAAAATTTATATACGCAAAAGACAATTTGAAACTCTTGCTCATCAGTTAATTAATAACACACAAAAAGTTGATTTGCCTAAATTTATTCAAGAGTCTTTAGACCACGGGCTTGCTTATGAGCCACATGCACAAGAGAAATATATTGAAGTTTTGAAAAATAGATTAAATCGCAATATTTCAGTTAGGACAACTGGAATTGTATTACAACCTAACTTATTTTGGTTATCTGCAAGTCCGGATGGTCTTGTATATGATGAAGAGGCTAAATATTATTATGGTTTAATTGAAATTAAATGTCCTAGAATGAAAAAGCACTTATCTATTTCCGAATGTTTGAATGATAATGATTTTTATATTGGATTAGACAATGGACACTCATATTTAAAAAAAGATCATTATACTGGTTATTATACACAAATACAAATGGCAATGGGGTTAAGTAATTCCCAGTTTTGTGACTTTGTTGTGTACAAATTTAAAGGAATTGCTATTATAAGAACACCTTTTGACAATCAGTTCTTTTTTAAATTAATTACTAAGTAAAATAATTTTTACATTAACTATTTTTTACCACAAGTATTGGACAATAATGTAAAGAGCAAAGAAAGCATACCCTCTAAATGTAAATATATGTTTTTACTTTTGATCTTATTTTTTAATAAGTGGTGGCAAAAAGTTACATAAAAGACAAGTTACTGTCCATAGTTGGTTAATTGAACCGTGAAACACCAAAGGAATTTTATTACTTATTTGGCAAAATACTTTAATCCTACGAATAGCACGTTCTACGTGAATTCTCAATGATGCAATGGTTTGACTTTCTGTAGCATCTTCTTTATTCAGCTGTAGTTGTCCATTTAAAAAAGATGGTATATTTAATTTAACATTGATTGTGTTTAAATGGTCTGAAATGGTAAACCCACGATTAGCCATAACTGAATCATTTTTGTTCCATAGTTCTTTATTAAGGAAACCTGATCTTACAACAATTTTTCTGTCAGAAATAGATCCATCATAAAATTGACTTGCTTGAAAAGTTATTGCTCCTGAAGGAGAAATACCTAACAATCCTTTGTAAGTTACATGATGTTTATAACTAGAAAATAAAGAACTCTGGTGTCTCAGTGATGAAGGTTCCTGACAAAACAGTTCAGTACAATCAATAATGCATCTTGTTGATGGAAATGTCATCTTAAAGCTTTCTGGCATAAACTTATTAACTTGTTCGCGTGAAGGCCAAATAGGTACACTTCCCAAAGAAAAATATAGATAGTTTGTCCATGTTATTAAATAACGAGATGTTGTTGATTTTGAAATTTTAAATAACCAAGATGTGTGCAAAATTGTAAATCCGTTTTTTAGCCACACTAAAAACATAAATAACTGATTTTCTGCGTTTAATTTTGTTTTTGGACCAGTTTTTGCCTGATTACCTAACCTGTGCATATTTTCAGATAATGCTGAGTTGTGGTATTTAATATTTTCACCATTTTTTCCTGGATTTAAAAAGTTGTACAAATTTATATACTGTTCATGTTCTATGCCAGTAAATTTTTGGAACAGTTCTTTGTCTGTTGACATATTTTCATAACTTAGTATGTATTTATTTTTATATTAATTCAGTTGATTTTTTATTTTTTTATTTTTAGATTCTAAAATGCTTATTTGAGATTTCAACTCGTGTTTTTCTTTTTCCAGTAGATCAATTTTGTTTTGTAGTTCAACACAAAATATGCAATCTTTCTCAATTTCAAAATCAATTAATAGTTCTTTATCGTTATTTTTAAAATTATTGTCTTCATTTCTAGAAACGTTTTTAATATCAAAGTTTTCGATAAATTTTCTTTTTTTAGGCGAACATCGTTTTTGTACATCAACTTGTTTTTTAAATTCAAAAATAGATGGAAATGCTTCTTTTTTTAAAGTTTTTCTGCCAATATTGGATAAAAATTGAATGTCTTCATTTTTAAAATGAAGCTCGCATTTTAGATTCGTGTCCTTAATAACGAAATTATTATTACCACCTTTTCTTCTAAATTGAGAAATAATTTTTGCCCACTTATTTCGACGAGCAGTATTCTTGGGTATTTTAAAAAATCCAATTCCTGACCTTTTTTTATATTTTTTATATTTTGAAAATCGTAAAAAGAACTTTTGCATTAAGGAATACAGCAATAAGTTCCACTTCCTCCTCCTTTAGTTAATGTAGAACAGGCAAAATCACTTTGAACATAGTCATAAGAATAAATATTTCTTATGACTATGCTTTGAAGTAATAAAAACTACGTTAACGCTTTATCATTGCCTGATGTCATTACATCATTACGTCATTGGAATGCGGGATACGTCTATTATCTAACTTTATATTGTTTGATTCCAAAATCGACCTACCCTAATATATATATATATATATATATATATATATATATATATATATATATATATATATATATATATATGTATATATATATATATATATATATATATATATATATATATATATATATATATATATATATATATTATATATATATATATATATATATATATATATATATATATATATATATATATATATATATATATATATATATATATATATATATATATATATATATACATATATATATATATATATATATATATTAGGGTAGGTCGATATATATATATATATATATATATATATATATATATATATATATATATATATATATATATATATATATATATATATATATATATATATATATATATATATATATATATATATATATATATATATATATATATATATATATATATATATATATATATATATATATATATATATATATATATATATATCACCTTGTAAATGTTTAAAATCCATTCTCTTTTGTTTTGGTTTAGATCAGGTCAAGTTAAATTTTGTTTTTCATTTATTTGCCATCAATCTGCGAAATACAAATAAATTTAATAAAAAAAAAAAACAAAGTAAAAATACAATCAAAAATCAATTAAATTAATAGAATACTCAAATCACAAATTAACAAAAACTAAAGAAATCATGGCAAAAAATGTGATAAACAAAATCTTAATTAAGATCTGGAAAACTAGACATGAATGAGAGGTTAGAGTTAGTAGACATGAATGAGAGGTTAGAGTTAGTAGACAAATCAATCTAGACTAGTCAATAAAAATGTGATTTGGCACTCAACGGATATATTGAAATAAAAAAAAAAAAAAAAAAAAGAAAGAAAGCTAGGGAAAAACTGTTTATAAACAGCTTTTTCTCTAACTTTCTTTCTTCTTTTTTATTAATTTTTTGCTGTTTTGAAGTCTATTTATAAGAAATCTTAGCTCTAATTTGAGCATGCTGTTAGCAACTTTTAATAACTTTTTCTTTTTTTTATAACTGGTAACTTTTTTATAAATACTATAAATAAGAAAATAATAAATAACTAATATAAATAAGTTTTGACTTTTCATGTTATATATTACAATATACTATATAAAAGATTTGTTTGTCATTTGGTATTTCATTTGGTTCCTTGGTTTACATTTTCTGTGTAATCATTAAAAACACAGTAAAACTTTTTAAAGCTCTACGATTGATAACTTAAGATCAGCAAAAAAGGTAAACATTATTACTAAATCATCATAAACAGAATTTTCTACTTCATAAATTTGGTTATAGTGTATCAAATATAGAAATAAATGATTTAATTTTAAATTTATCTTATGATAGGCGCAGGGGCAATTTTAGGGAGAGGGGTGACTCCTTAAAAACTGCCGACTGCTGTCTGAAAAAAAAAGTTCTAAAAAAATTTGCCGACTGAAATATGTGAAATGCTAACTAACCTACTATATACCTTAAAAACCAACTATGAGTTGAAAATAGCCATCTTTAGAAGGGTGTAACAATTCAACACCCCTTTACCCCGTAATGTCGCCACTGGATGCAACATAATTAAATAAATCTTCGTAATTCCATTGCTTTTTTTATCTTTTTATATCCTTTTGATAGTTCCATATTCAGTATTTGGTAACTTGTTTTTTACTTATTGTTACTATGTTTTAAGTAAAATGTCAAGACGTTGCCTGTTTCAATCTTCGTAACTACTTGTAATATTTTGTTATATAATATATGATTTTGACTTTACATGTAAAGTCAATAGACAATGTTGTTTGTGTAAAGTTGAATAAAGAACGGTTTTATCCATTGCCCGAAATGAAATGTGAATTTTACATTAGTTTGTAATTTGTGATGTGATTTGTAATGTGAATTGTTTGTAATTTGTGATGTAATTTGTAATGTGAAATTTACATTGGTTTGTATACAAACCAAAACATACTGGTCCACACTATAATTTCATAATTATAATAAGACTTTCATTGTATAGTTGACATAAATATAAAAACATTTTTAAAATTTAAAAGATGAATGTTTAAATCATTTAAATTAAATGGTTTAAATATTCATCTTTTAAAGATTAAAAGTTCTTTAATCCACCATTTTTATATAGAATATGCAATATAAGGTATTGTACACAATGTAAAAAGGCTTTGAAAAAACTTGTGTATAATGCAAATTCTTATAAGTTTTTTTAAAATTATACATATTTTCATAGCAAAAAAAAAAATCTTCTAATGTTTTCACTTTTATTACATTAACACATTTATAAAAAGTTTTTAAAGAACTTACCCACGCACAAATCCAAGATTTTATTTAAATCCGAATTATCAGTACATTTGCGTCGGCGAACTCTCATATGTAAATTTCAACGTTATTTCAACGTTTATTTTTCAAAGTTATTTCAACGTTTGTTTTTAGTTGAAAATAATTTTTGAATCAACGTTGAAATTTCAACGTTTTTTTTTAAACGTTGAAATAACATTGAAGTTTTTTAAGTACCCTCCACCTCCATATAAGCACCTACGCTTTTAATCTACCTACTCAAAATTTTATAATACTTTTTTTAATTTAGAGTCTCCTTATTTTTATAATTTCCAGCATGCCTCCCTTATTTATATACGCCATTTGCAGACCCCTCTTCCCCTCCGAGCGTACGTACTTTATGGACGATCTTAGGGATGCAAATTACCGTGAACTGGTGAAAATGAACAACAATACCAAGTTTACTAATTGGTGAAGGATAATCACTAATTGGTGAAGGATAGTGCATGGTATAACTAAATAGTGTGTTATTTTGATTCAGATGACTTAAATATAATATAAAGAAGTTAATTTTCAGCTGCCCTCAAAAAATTTATTTTTCACCTACTTTAAACATCTCGTGTAAGTCTCAAATAGTGGTTCTGTGGTTCGGGCAATTAAACTAAATAGCATATCTTAAAAACTGCTAATCAGAACTTTATAAAAATTAGCGCACATCAAGTTTAAATGCATATTGCTCTAATAAAACTATAAATTATGGTATAACTTGTCTTTTTCAGATTTTATGGTCATTTAAAAATGACTTTTCTACAAATAACTTGAGTTTTCTTCTGCAAACTTTAGAAACTATGATTCGAAGTTAAAAAAGAAAAAAAATTAGCTAAGAGTATTAAACAAAGTACAGGCAATATTTTATTTTATTATACTTTCACAGTTTTCAAAAAGAACACATCAAACAAGTTTAATAAATGTGCACAAAATAAAAAATTAAAACATCATGTATTGTTCAAAGTCATCCCGAATCAGCTGTTCATTCTCACCCCATTTTGGAAATGCGGATATGGTCATATAAAACCAGAAAGTTAAGATATTTACTGCATAGTGCTTATCAGGCCTAGGAATATTTCAGGAAGCTGAAAAGTATAATGTTCTTTTACAAAAAAAAAGGGTAGCGATTAGGCCAACAGTTTTCTTCTATGATACAAAAATGTTTCAAAAGCGTTCATAGTCATCCGCCCCCCTTCCGTTCACGGTACCTGCTTTTGAAATTCTATATCTTAAACGTCACTTTATCAAAATTTTTATACTTAAACTATAGAATAAAAAAATTATCAAATGCTGATTTTCAACATACAAAATAAAACAAATTATTAACGCAAAATTAAACAAATTTAATGCAATAATAATGTAGCGTAAGATTTAAAAAAGAATTATTTATTCTTCGTTTTCTTCATCATATTCTTCTTCGTAAATTTTGGATTCGTCATCTTTAGATTTATCATTAAACTCTTTTATATTATAAATACTTTCATCATCAGTCCTTCTATTTTTACTGTTAATCGTGTCTATATTTTCTTCGTCGTAACCTTCTTCCTCATCATCTCTTGTGTAAATTGGTAAACCATCATCTTCAGGCAAACTTTCTTCTTCAAAGATATCTTCTATATTTGAATTAACATCTGTAGATTCTGACTTATCAAGTATATTAGTAGGCATACTTTGTTTACTCGTAACAGTTTGTTCATTTAATTCTGATTCACTGGTGTTTTTCTGCGTCAGCGGAACACACGTAACTGTATAAATATGTATATATACATATATATATATATATATATATATATATATATATATATATATATATATATATATATATATATATATATATATATATATATATATATATATTAAACAATTTAAAATGTATTCTACAAAAAGAGTGCTCAATGTTCTTAAAAGAACAGAGCAATTACAAATTAGTAGAAAATCACTTAGAAAAATTTTCTGATGAGTCTTTATTGATGAAACACAGTGTTAAATGAGAAAAAATTTTGCTAAGTGATTTTTTACTAATTTATATATTTATATATATATATATATATATATATATATATATATATATATATATATATATATATATATATATATATATATATATATATATATATATATATATATATATATATATATATATAAATATATATATGCTTGTACGTATATATATGAACACTTATTTACCGTTGGATATCATAATTAGTAATAATGCAACAAGCATCAACAACTTCTTCATTCTTTCCTAGAAAACAGAGCAAAACTTATGAAAATAACAAAAAGTCAATTGTGCATTTGTACATTAAGTAACATAAACTAAAAAGCAACAACTGTATTGAAAATAATATATAAATAATATTTATATATATATACAAAATAATAGAAAACATATTAATATAAATCGTTTATTCTCACTTTTATTTCACGCGATTAGAAAAAAACCAAATAAGCAGATTTCTTGTTTGTTTATAAATAAATCATTACGCTGAGAATTTTTTTGAAAAGTTTCTTTAGAACAGTAAATTGCATTTTCATTGAAATTAAATAATAAAAGAAACTTCGCAAACTGAGTGAAAAGAACACGCTGCATTGTAAAATTATAATAAAAAGATTTTCTTGATTTCAATACAGTTTTTGATTTCTACTTTTCCAATTGGTTTAAAATTCAGCAATTTCAAAAAAATATATATATTAATATTGTTTAGTTATAAAATGTATTTTTAAAATTCTTGCGACCCAATCAGCTGTGGCAGAGTAGTTAGAGCACTTACTAAAAAAATAAAATAAAAAAATCTAAAATTTGATGCATACTCTAGCTAAAACTGTCAGTGCAATTATAGCCAGAGCATGCATCAAAATTTATTAGTTAAATACCCTTCTAGGCATCCGGGAAAATGCCCGAAGATATGATTGTTCTGATGAAATAGTGGCTTGATGTATTCAGGCCCTTCTATTCTATAACAGTTGCTTTGTTAATTTCTTCTAGAAAAACATTTTCAATTTTTTTTTTGTTCTCTAATTAAAACTTTACAAAACGTGATCATAAATATATACTGATTCACTTAGAATGTATATTGAACAGGGGCGGATCTAGGATTTTATATAGGTGTAGCTAAAATTTGTAAAATGACGTCATAATTGTAAAATTATCGGACGTTAAAAAGACGTCCGATAATTACGTCATGTATACGCCGCCAGACAGTTTTTTTATCTGAGCGTCTTTAATTCACTTTTTGCACACATATTTTTCATTTATTTTTAATAGATTCTAGTAAAATAATTAATGGTAAAATTTTTAATATTTGCCTTGGCTATTCTGTTCGTAATTTAGACATAATGTCTTACTTAACGAAGTGCACCAACTAAAAGGTAAGCCATGGGACTTTGCACTCCATATGTAAGTTGTAACGCTGCCTTAAGTTAGCTCTCCAATTCTGGATTCTTTCCTTTATATTTTTGTTACTAACAGAATAAATGCAACTATTACTGCATTAACAATATGATATCGTGATTTATTCAAAAGATATTTACTTTAAAGTTGCATACTACTATATATAAATATATATTAAAAAAAAAAATTCGAACAGTATCACTAGCTATAGAATCCTCAGGAAGCTAATTTATTACATCTTTGTTTTTTATGATTACCAAGCACTCTTTTTATAGCATACTCTAAACTAAATTACCACACATTTAAATTTTTTATTTAGTGGTTTACATTATTTAGTTAAGAACAAATTAATTTAAAATATTTAACATTTTAGATGTCAAGGATTATGAAATGTACACAAAATAGAAAATAAATTCATTTATTAAACATTTATAACAAATAAAAAATAAAATGCTCTAAGAGAAAATTAAACAATGAAAAAAACAAAAAAAGGATTGTAAATATAAGAGATATTCAATTATTATATAAATATAATTATTATTAAATCATAGCCAATTATTTAAGGCTTAAATATCAACTTTAAACATCTCTCTTCAGAAGCTGAAATTTTTTTTGTCAACCTTATCTTTATCTAGAACCATTTCAATATGAATTGACATTAAGGCTAGGTCATTCAATGACCTTTTTAACACTCTTCTTCTTGACTAAGTTTTTAATCTCTTGGGACCTAGATTTAAATCTTTAAAATATTCAAGAATGTTGGGGGGGGGGGGGGGATCAGTCGTTGTCATGACTTTTGTTTAAAAAATACTAGATGGGGGTTTTGACTGATCTTTCTGAAGAGGCTTCCATAATTCAACTCTGCATGAATAAAGGTTGAATGCAGAGTTGGAATGATAGATATCTAGAAATTCATGAAAGTAGATTCGCAAATCTTAGTAAGTTTTCAAATTTTTAATCTCTTTCCCAAGAGATTAAAAATTTTTTGAAGAAATAAAAATGTAATATTTTAATTATTTACATTTATAGCAAAAATCAATAAAAATGGTTTATATAGCTTTGTGGCAAAACTATTATTTATAGTATTAAACTGTTTAATAAAATAATAATGTTTTAGTTAAATGTTATAAGAATTTTAAAACAATAAGCACAGAAGCAGTTGTATATAAGTAAACTATTTACAGTTATAAAAAGCTAGTTATTTTTATTACAAATATAATCCGTGAAAATATAGGTAAAAATATACCTTAAAGCTACAAAAGTTTTCAAACCAAAAGTTTAACTACGAAATTAAACTGATGAGATATTCAAACCATTTCGTTTTGTAAACAATTTTTTTCGCAACATTTATTGTTATGAATGTGAATCAATAGCATTTGGAACAGTTTTTTTTTCAAAAAATATCCGCCATAACTACCAACTTACTAAGAAAATAATAAAGGCGCTTTGCTTATTTGAAAATAGCTGGACTGGGAAATAAGTACAGCCACAAGGCAAAAAGCAATCTAGCCACGGGCTACGAGTGTTAACGGCATACGACTTTTGAATAAAAATATTTTACATTCAAAAAAACAATAATTTAGTCAGCTTATGCCGTAAAATCAGGTTGTTTGTGGCTTAGTCACAAACCGATATGCAATAACCGATCTTTTTTTTAATTCCGTTTTTTTTGGTTTTAAGTAATCGCTTTTAAAGCCGAATTTACACAGCAAATAAAAATAAACTTATCTTAATTATTTATATTATTTTTATTTTAAAAATATGTTGGAGTATTATATTGTTTTTTATTTCGTTGATTATTTTACGGTGTAGCCTTAGCCACAACGGCTATACCCTAGATCCGCGCCTGTCGAAAGTTACTGTTACTTCGTTTACAATGTATATTGGATTCGTTTACAATACAGGTATTTCTGCCCAACTTTTGACTTGAAGCGATTCTTCGCCCTTTTTAAATTTAAAGAGGATCTTTCTTCTATATAATTTGTAGCAGTTGCAGAGCGAAACATCCCTAGAAAAACATAGACTTTAGGAAATGTGGATTCATTTATCTTTGATCGAACAACTAAAAGTAAATCCAGATGATTTAGTTTTCTAGTTTCACCAGTTGAAGCTAAATCAAAATAGATTAAGGCTTCAAAACGTTTCTTACCGAATAGAGGGTTTGCTCGCTCAGATGGTTTATTTGCGCAGTCGCGAGTTCTGCTCTTCAAACAGGCTATTCTAATTACAAGGTATAATTATCGGAATATATATAGCAATTTTTAGGTTTTCAACAGTGTTAGAATATATTTTAATATGAAACGCATCAGCTGGACACTATCAGGCAAACATTTTATAGCGGAATTTTAGTGGAAATATATAGGCATTTTGAGCGAGACGCTGTAGTTTTGGTAAACGGTTACTTATTGGACCATTAGTGGCAGCCACCAAAAGAGGCTAACCGATGACTTACCACTATTAAAAAACTGGAAATTTATTGGCTGACCATTTATAGCGACTGCCGACATAAACGGCTTAACATAAATGCCGACATAAACGACATAAACATAAATGCCGTTAAAAAATGTATATATATAGGTCCACTGCAAATCCACTAAAACAATGTTTGCTGGGTATAATAGAAGGTAGAAGACTTCTTAAGAAAATGGATCAGCTGGAGACGGCTGTAATGATAGTCATCTAGAGCACAACTATGGAAAGGTTCAGCATATTGAACAAAATACTTTAAGCCTTTAAAATCGATTTACAGTGTTGTCTATTTTTGTTCCAGAGTTTAGATTAAAAAAAAAACAAAAATTTTTAAAAAAAAGGCTATGTTAAAGAAGCTTCTACAAGTACTTTACTGACCAGAAACAAAAATGTGCGCTCAAATGCCAACATGACAAATTACGTCTAATGAGGCGTCAAACTTTACTGAAAGAGAAATCGAGAAATAAGAAGAAAAATCGAAGTTAATGTTGTGTATCACATATACCTGAGCTGGTTATTTTTGAATTTCTTTTAATGGTTACAAAAATAGCCCGGGCCCCACGAAGTCTCTTAATCCGCCACTGTTGTAGTGAAAGTATTTTATTTTGCAAACTTAAATGAAACATTGTATTAAAAGTTTCTATACTTATACAATAATTATTATAAGTTGTCTAGAATTAGTAAATATTTAGACGTAATTGATCCAAAAATGAATAAAACGTTTACTAATCAATTATTAAACAAAAATGATTGGTTTGTAACAAAAATGATTGATTTGTATAAAACAGAAACGATTGATTTGTATCTACATTTCAAGCTTTTTAATATATAGATTTATTAAATTTGATTAAACGTTTGCAATATTGACTAAAGTCAATTTTGTAAAGGTTTTATTGACGTTTAATAAACGTATACATTAAAAGATTTGTAGTTTACGTATGTTAAAAACCTTTTATTGTTACATTTATCAAATGTAAATGAAACGTTTTAAATATTTATAAAAACAGCAAATATTGCAAACCTAAACATTAGATAACTGTAAACAGGATTGAGACATAGGCAAAGCTATACTTAAAATTATATATATAAAGTTTGAATATTTTTGATGACTTTGTTTGAATAGTTTTTTTTGACGTTGACAAGCAATTGAATTTGTAAATATAAAAATATTAATTTATTTCAAAAAAACACATTGTTTGTAAATTAATATTGCACCACAATGTTTGTATAATAATACTGTATCAGACCTAGTATTGTGAATCTCGTCATTATATACTACTAAAAATCACTAATTGTTAGTAGTATACACAATAGGAAAAATTTAAATGGTAGAAAATTTGAATGATAGAAAGTCTTAATAAAACTTAATCTAAAAGGTTTAAATTAAGACCTCGATACAATAATTGACATAAGTCAATTATGTTTATATTAACGTATTGCACCTTCTATCAGAGTGTGCAATCCTGTGGCCGTATTCTTATCTCTCCGTTAAGCTTAACGGAGCGTTTGCCAAAACGTTCTTTTTAACTACATTAAATAAAAATTCTTAAAAAATTTAAATTTTTAAATAAAATTGTTTTATTTTAGTATTATATTTAGTAAACAAATTTAAATAAAATTTTTTACCAAGTTGTCCCAAGAACGCCACTTATACG